TACTTAATGCCTGTGTTCATTAAGTTAAATGAACCTTAGTTGGTAGGTTTATGTAGTCACAGTCTTAAAAGATTTTTCTCCAGTGTGTTTTCTCAGAGATGGCACTGTGAGAATAAAGACTGTGCATCCATAAGTAGCCATCTGAAAGCACACAGCAGCAGCAGTGATTGCCATGTCAGGCATTTGTTAAGACACCACTTGAAAATGGATGGTTGGGGTTTTTTCTCCGTCTTTATCAAGGACAAAGAACTTGAAATAACGCTAACAATTATTTAAGAACATGAAAAGGAGACGCCTGCTGTAGTCCATGGGCTCAGTTTAAAAACCTCTGAAGTCAACCAAGCGACTCACCTGCATTATGACAGACTCTGGATCAGGACCTGGTGCTCACTAAGAAACACTCCAGAAAGCAGTGACACCTAATGGCAAGCCTGCCTTTGGAGGACAGCAAACCGTAATCTACAGCATGGAAAATTATCCCTCTTTAGCGGCAGAGCAGCTAGCACTAAAACACATTACAGGGACTGAAATACTATCACAAATATAAGCACCTGGGAGAGAGTTTAAGAAACAGTGCACACAGAAACACAGAGTATATCACGCATGCTGTGTGTTTAAGTAGAACGTAGTTACTAATCAAAACTACTGGCTGCTAAGTCACAGCGTGCTGTATTCCAGGTCTTCACCCGTGTATGTACTTTTAAAATAAACAAGTAACACTGGCACATTCTAGAGCAGGGAAAACAGAGACCTGAATCCTATCTGTAGACACTATAGGCACATAGAGATTTATTTGTTCTCAACACATCTGTTTTGCTTGCTTGTCCTGCACTTTACAAAATGCGTGTGAGAATACTGTAATGAACAGTTAGTGACATACACTACATACCTTCTAATGAGGCTTTACCAATAGCACAGCAACTTAAATTCTGATTACCAATGCACAACGAAACAGAAGCCAGGCTGCACTGTAGTACAACAGCTTACAGGACAAAATGTGGAAGTGCATATCACCAAGCTAGATGACTCCTTTTCCCTTATGAAAAAACTTCACATTTTAAGAACACTGACATATCAACAGAAGGAGTAAGCGACAGACCCCATGTTGAAATTGACCTGATATCATTATCCATGTTGCAGCAGAGCTTAAAAGTATGAACCAAAACTCAGGACCCAGTGATGCTGGGAACTTGTCTAACACAGGTCATGCAGCAGTCCTGGCCTGCAAAATCTAAAAGCTGAGAGGAGTAAGGGAAGAGCAGATCTAATTTCCTCTCTTAGGAAAAAAATATAGTATATATACATAAAAATATATATTAAAAGCAGATGTGTAAATATATGTAAAAGCACATATAACATATATACTATATATTATATATATTTCTGAACTTGCCATCGAAAATAAAAAAGCTAAGGGCAGTACGCAACTGAATGTGTGTGGCTGAACCCACTGACAAACAAAAAAACAACTTGCAATAATCAAGCAGCCTGACCTATTGCTGAACACTGCTGCAAAGAATTAACCTTTAAAAATACTTCTGTGTATTTTTTTAGCAAAAAACTTTTATACCATACTATGTGACTGCTGCCCTACGTGATTTTGCTGAATCTAATACACGCATATTTGCACATATGTTTCTATATGCACAATAGGACATCCATATGCATATACAGATGTATTACTACGTACATGTCAAGGGAAAAAAAATGAACACAAAGTACAAAATATAGAAGCATGAGAGCATCAGCTGTAGAAGATACAAAGCGTACACAAATTGTGCAGTTGACAAGGAATGCCACCTAATCCCTGCTTAATTAAAGCACTGTTCTAAACTCCTGTTTAGGGAGTGAGGAGTGTGGGACGACTGATGTATGAAGAAAATATCAGGCAGCGTGGCTAATCTCAAAGACTTTGGAGCTTTCGAGCTACATAAATCAGACCGACTTTTTGAATAGCCTCATAAAACACAAAATCATTGCTATTCCACTCACGACTTTCAGATTCTTCCTACAGCATACAGATCATTAGGAAACTTCTAAGCAATCAAGTAATGTGGGGCTGATGAAATTACTCAATCAATGCATGGGCTGAGAGAAGCAGCACAATACAGAATTGCACAGTTTTGACATGGTAACCCTGCCCCTTTTTTATATAGGGGTAGGAAAATTACAGTGGAGTCGATTCATTTCAACATTTTCACACAAGTGCTTAATGTAGTCGTTCTGAACTGCCAGTTCCTATTTATAATAGCAGGGCAGCAGAAACATACAGACTATAAGCAGACCTACCAATGTTTAAAGTATGATATAGGGAAATGTTTATTTTTAAATGTGTGCATTTACATACACGCAGACCTGCTCTAATGATCCAAAGCAGCAGCTGTAATCATTCAGAAGACAGAAATATGAAAAAGAGTATCACAGATAAATACCAGTCACCACACCCCTCCCACTGCCATCACCAAGTCGCTCATCTCTACTCACTAACTTGTAACATTTTTCGTCATTTGCTAAGATAATATACTGATAATATACGTCGATACATAATACATCCCTTTACAGAAATCACATCAAATGCTACGTAGGCAAGCCAGACAGTGAGTGCATTATACTGAAAAAGTATATACTGTCAGAAAAAGAGTACGCACAGGTAACGTGTTATTTCTTTTGACCATCTGCCCCTCCCATGCATGGGAAGATATTATCTACCTGAATATCTTAACACTGTAGAATGAGAAAAAGATAATGCATTTACCTTGTTTGTTACCTATGGCATCAGTACTACCTCTGATAGTATTTATTTTCCCCTGAAGTGAGCATTTTGTTTTCTTCTTTGGCTTTATAAATTCTTCTGCAGGTAATTTCTTCATAGAGTACCCTGCTAGTGCTTTTTATAACTTAGATAAACAAATACAGGTTATTATTTATGTCTAAATATTTTATACATAAGTTTACTCAGTACAATCTGAAGAAAACAAAAGGGGGTCAGAATATCCAGGTCAGAAAATACAGTAGTGTTACTAGGGGCCAAATTTTGATCTGTGAGCGCTACAAGTTGGAATATTTAGCTGTCTACCTCTTTAGTGTTAAAATAGTTCTAATTTCAAGTAATTTATTTTCAGTGTATACATTCCAATAGATTTAAAGCTTTGTGTAACAATTATTACTTTGCCATTTTCATGGCAACGTAAACCAGCCTATAAAAAGAGGTAATCCTCTTGTCAACTGTACTAATTGTCTCTCAAGACAAATTAATCGTGTGAGAAGCAACTACTTTGGGCTTTTTTTTTTATGCTTTCAATGAGGATTTACTGTGTCGATGCATGTAATCGCCAACAGCATTATAAAAACACATCAGCGGTAAAATGCGTTGCATTCATGATATATAAGCAAGCAAAACCAACAAAATTGTCATTAACTCGAAGACAGAAAAGCTATCGTCTCCCTCGATGCCACTGCAAAGGCATAGAGCTCGCCCAGCAACGCTCCGTTAGCCCGGAGGATGGGAGACGGGGGACAGCAAAGAAACTCCTCATCCGCTACACAGTCAAAATTCTCCCC